AGCTGCATGAGTCGTGACGGTCACGTTAGCCTGATGAGACCAAACTCCCTTTGTGATTTTAAAACGTAAGACAGTACCCAGATTTGAAGACTACAGTAAGATTGAACTTCTACTGTTAATAAGATTTTGGTAGGCTACTATTAGATGGATAATTCAGATGGGCTACATGTTTTTTTTTTTTATGGTCTATCAAAAAGTGTATATTTTTAAAATGTGATTGCTGGTACATTTTACCAGTTTTTACCATACTTTCAAAACAAAAATTAAAATATGAAAAATATGAAAATAATTGAAGACAAAATGTGTTCTACTGAGAAAAAACAAGATTTGGTTTTTAAAAAGCCTTTTTCCAAAAGGTACATCTGGAAAAAGGGGGGGTCGTCTTATAATCAGGGTCGTCTTATATTCGGGCCAATACAGTATATCTTACAGTTTGACATAAAATACTGTTGCTGCCTCATCTTTTATCCAAGATGTCACTGGGGTCATACTGTACAATCTGACAAGCAACATTCGTAAAGGACAGAAAATCACTCTGTGGACCCTTGGAGGATGTAGAGCCATCCTTTGTGCTGTTAGCTCACGCAGACCCTTTAGCAGATTAACAGAAAGAGAGGTCATTAGCTCACTCCCCCGTGACAGCAGGCTGTTGCTCCAATACTTGCAGCACATCTCTGGATCAAAGTGTTTATTGCACTACCTCCAGGCCATCAATTTACAAATCCCATTGATGGTTAAAGATAAGGACAGCAGGGAATAAACAACACGTTTTTAGCCTGTTTTAGTTGTCTCCTAGGAGCTGTCACAGTCTTTTGATCTTTTGCACATAAGCAGGCTGAGAGAGTGAGTGGGCGGCTTCACTGTGGGACAGAAGCAGTGTTGAATTTGGTTGGAGCAGATATGGGAAGCCAGTGTAGAGAATGGCATATTTGCAATTGAATATGCATTTTGTGCGTTTAGAATGATATACGTGTAAAGAGATGTAAAGCACATATGCTGGCAAATCAGACGACACATGATTAGATTTAATTGAGTACTGAGCCATGTTACTCGCATAATGTTACACAATATAGTGCATTCAAACCAATATACTATGGAAATATGATCATCTCCTTGCAAGGGACTCTTGCTGTTCAAAAATGTATGCGTTAAAAATTATAAAAAAATAAATAAATTGTGCAGATGAAAATTTGCCTCTAGATAATCCCAATACAATGCATTAAATGGAAACATTTAAACAAGTTTCTCTGGAGAATGTTTTGTGAACGAACACAGAACTGGAAAGAATATGAGGAGGGAGGCAAAACTATATTTCAGAACACAAAGGTTTGCGAATGCAAAAGGATTAGAATTTTTCTTCCATTCTTATATTTTTCCCATCATCATGTCTTCTTAGGTACCCTGTAGAAAAGCCAGTTTAGTGTTTTTTTTGTTTTGTTTTTGTTTTTTGTTTTTTTTTAATGGTAAGATGGGTATTACAAGTATTACATTGACCGATCAGTGGCTCAACAATGTAATCCGGAGCAAATCTCTCAAGGGGATCTGAAGTTAAAGCTGCAGTCCGTAGCTTTTTTTGTTTTTTTTGGTTAAAAATTATTCAAAATCAATATTTGAGCAAGTACATAACCAGCCAGTGTTCAAAACTATCTCCTTACTTTAACCCGATTCACAACGATTAACTTATAATAATGTTTTCTAATTTGAGTGGTACGGGTAGGTTTTCATGGGGAAATTTGAGCATGGCATTGCATCATTACATCACGTCTGTAAACATGAAGTTGTCCCGGCTACTAGGCTATGGCATGTGAGGATCCTGCAGGTGGCAGATCGTTTATAGCCTTTTCTCACAGCAGTCAGAATAATTAAATGTATGGCGGATTGTAATCCAGAAAGGATTATATGTTTATGAAACACATGTGAATGAAATTAAATTATATTCCAGTTATAAATGTGCTTCTAATTACAGATAGCCTGGGATTACACAGATTTGTATTTGAAAGAAAACCAGTTCGAAGGGAGCATGATTTGCTTTTTGGGTTAAAAGAATTTCTTAATATGAAATTCGAAGAGTATGACAATTAGATTAGACTGTGCAGAAATTGAAATCTACACGCTAATATACACTATACTCATAGTCACGCAATGCTGATGTTGTTAACATTAATCATTTGAGAATAAAGTATAACAATAAAAATAGCTTGAACAGTTTGATGTGATATGAGCTAACCGATCTTTAGATTTAATCACCATTGGTAGCGAGATTTATGGACGGTAATGCTTTTTTCCTCAGTTGGTCAGAACAAACGTGGCAGACTTGTTACTTACTTGTTCAGATGGCAATATACGGTGAAAATTCTTATTTGGGTCATATTCCAAGACGTAGGCTAGAATCTGAGATTGCGAAGTACTGTAAATATCCACACCGGTGCGGTGACTGACTGCCACACATACTCTTCAGAACACTAGATTCATTCGCGCTGGAGCCGTGCCGACTCACAACCCACGCAAGCTAGATAATTCCGCACACAGCTGCAATTCCAGGTTTTACACTTTACACTTTAACTCTGTATGGTATTAACCCGGGTCCCAGACACCTGTGGATTACTTGGAGGCATTGCATTGTTATGTGTGCAGAACACATTGAGAAACCATGACCTATTTTGTGGTGAAGCAATGCTGTAATTCAATTTCTTTCCTTATTTGATTAAATGGTTTCGAAATGCATCCACTCTGTAGTACAGAGGCTAATGCTTTTTGAACTTGACCTGCACTACTTCACTTCTCTTATACATGAAGCTGTACAGCATAATACTGTAATAATGCATTATACATAAATAAAACGAAACATTGCAAACATAGCATATGATACATATGAAATGATGTATTCTGGTATAATTGTTGTGGTGTTGCATAGCTGGTCGCTGTGCCGTCTGTCTCTATCATAGCTGTGCAGTAGGTAGTGACATTTTCTCAGTAGAGGTTAACAATGACAGCACTGTGCTCTCAAAGGATTTACATCATTAACCAGTAACCTCACTTTCCCTCTCTCAGCTCCCGGGGGAACACGCATTGACGATGGGGACAAGACCAAGGTGACGGAGCACTGTATGTTCAAGACGGAGGAAAACCACACTGCTGTCCGCAGCTATGCTCAGGTGAACACCCCACTTCTCCCAGTTCAATGAGATACTATTTTCCATTGTTGTATATGAAAAATGAGCAGCCGATACCAAGGTGGGGGAATCCTGTTTAAAAATGGCATTAGATGTACTTAGTCCCCAAATCCTCTGGGTGGAACCAGTATGCCACTCAGACTGTGTCATTACAATGTCTCTCCATCACCAGCTACTGTGAGTTTAAGTGATCTTGTGTCCAGGGTTTTGCTTTTGTCATATCTTGAGGAATCAAATTTGATTTGAATTTGGTTTTAGATTAATTTGATTTATAAGGCTATAATTAGGGGTCTAAAAATATAATAATAATAATAATAATTATTATTATTATTATATTTTATTGTTATATCATGTATTATCACTATTATTATTATTATTATTATTATTATTATAAATATTATTGTATTAATTTGTTACTTTAGAAATTTTTATGATGTTGTTTTTTATATTATTATCAAATAAAACAATGTAATGAAGTATAATAATAATAATATCTAAAAAATAGTACAATATATAATATCACATATATTATTATTAATGTTGAAACAAATTATATATGTGTATAATATATTTTTATATCTAAAACGAATATAATAATATTATCTAAAATGATATAATATATAATTATGTAATATTTATATAATATAAATAACATTGCATACAATTATTAACATTTTGTGTTTTATTTGATATAATATATTGTAATTTTTTTTTTTTTTACATTTCTTTATTATTATTATTATTATTATTATTATTGTTGTTGTTGTTGTCATATCATACAAAAAAAAAATGCAGTAATATTGAGAAATAATAATACAATTTACAATGACTTTTCAATTGTAATATATATTTTAAAATGTAATTTATTCCAGTGAAGGCAAAGCTGAATTTTCTGCATCATTACTCCAGTATTCAGTGTCACATGATCCACCTTCTTAATCTTAAAGGTTAAAGGTTCTTCCGAGTTCCTCCTGTAGTTAATCTAATAGTGTAATCTGCTCTGACTTCAGGAACTCTTTCCTGCAAATAAGCAGAATGTGGAACACTTCTCAACGTACTTCACTGAGGCAGGACTGAAAGAGCTGTCAGACTTCCTGCGCACGCAGCAGTCTCTGGGCACACGCAAGGAACTTCAGAAAGAGCTTCAGGAGCGCCTGTCACAGCAGTGTCCCATCAGAGAGGTGAATCATCCACACGTTAAATATTATAGATTAGTGCTTATCAACTGCTTTTGCTTCAAGACCCAGATTTTATAATGGTCATTATGGACTGACACGGTACCAAAATCATTTATTGTACAAAAAGTCCTTAAAATGTTCCATATGCTCTGATGTGAATTGTGCTTAGATTGTGGTGTATGTGAAAGAGGAGATGAAGAAAAATGATCTTCAGGAGCAGGCTGTGATTGGCTTACTGTGGAGCTGCCTCATGAATGCTGTTGAATGGAATAAGAAAGAGGAGCTGGTCACCGAACAGGCCCTCAAACACCTGAAGGCACAGTATCAACACCTAGACTTTATAATGTCACATTGATATCAATAATGCTTATATTCTCTATATTATTTTAGTAATTAAATTATTTTGCCATGTCTGCACTTCTGTCATCACTGAATCACTTCAGTTACAGTTGAAGCTGTCTACACTGGAAGAGTCTGTTGCAACGGGTGACAGCAAGTTGACCGATACCGCATTTCTATTTTTGATGCACTGCAGAGCTACTTCAGCCACATTGTCTGAAATACAATGGGTCTCATTCACTAATATTTGAGTGGATTAATCCGATTTATATGCACAGGAGAACTTCTCACAAAAAATTCTGCCTAATAACATGTGCGTTTACATTTTGATCTTCATATTAAGGGCTTTCTGCTTAACTCTTTCTTTACAGCATTTTTTTTTTTTTGTAAATTGAGAATCATTTTTAGTATGAATGTTGATTGATGATATGTCTATGCATGGTTAGTAAATGAGACCCAGTGTCTTTATTTACAAAGCATCAAATCATACAAACATTGTATGTTTATATAATATATATATTTTTATTATTATTTTTTTTTTTTATATATATTTACAAAGCATCAAATCATACAAACATTGTATGTTTATATAATATATATATTTTTATTATTATTTTTTTTTTTTATATATATTTACAAAGCATCAAATCATACAAACATTGTATGTTTATATAATATATATATTTTTATTATTATTATTTTTTTTTTTATATATATAATTTGTGTATATATTTTTTTTCTAATATTTTTTTGTTTTATATTTAACTTTAGACTGCTACATCAAAGGCTGTTTTTTTTTAATCAGCCTAATATTTAAAAAATAGTCAAACTGAAGTAAAGTAAAATTTTAGTTATTAGATTTGAGAACCATAACAAACTTGTATAAATGAGCAATATCACACGAGTAGACGTGAGATATGGCTGAATATCTGTGCCGATATTCAGCCATATCTCACATCTACAAGTGTGATACTGCATTTATACAACAGTTTGATGGCACAAGTGTGTAATTATAAGAAAAACAATGGAGTGTCTTTTAAAAACCCTCTTTTGTGCGGAACTACTTCTTTCCGCCACTGATTCAAATCTCAGTTTGACAGCTGAGCAACAATGTGAGAAATACGGCAAGAGGAGTGATACAAATTGGGAAAGTGTGTTCCTGTAGCGATACCAGCACAATATCTCACACTTCTCAACCAATCAGATTTGAGAACCAATTACATTTTGAAAACCAGAGCGAACTGTAATCACAGCTTGCCGATATACAGCCATACCTCACGTCTATGAACTGTTGTATAAATATATATAAATAATAATAATATATATATACATATATACACACACACACACACACAGACAGACACACACACACACAAATTATGTTAATATTTATAATATCTTCATGCCTTATTTAGCAGATTAGAGCTGGGTGAAAAATATCAAGCTGTTAAGATTTGCGATGTGTGTATATATAAAGCTGTGCGATAATATAATTTTACATTTTAAATGACATAAGTAATTGAGATTTTAGTTATTAACTCGATATGGTGATATTGAGAACCTGTGAGGTTCTTTTGTTATATAAAGAAGTATTTCTACTACTGCATTTCTGTTGACAATAAAATTGTTTATTTTGAAAGGATTATATTTTCAAGTTTCTGCTGCTGAAGTGTAATATTTGCAGCTGATTGGTCCATGATTATGTAGGCAGCCTCAAGCCATTGCAGCTTAACACATCACAACATATCATGTGCTGCCAGTGTAGATCTGTGTAAGAGAGAGACTCTTAGATGAGAGATGATTATTGTTTCTCCTGTAGCACTATGCACCTCTCCTGGCTGTGTTCAGTACTCAGGGCCAATCAGAGCTGGTCTTACTGCTCAAGATTCAGGAGTACTGCTACGACAACATCCACTTCATGAAATCCTTCTCCAAAATAGTGGTGCTCTTCTACAAAGGTACCCCTGTCCCACCTGATCAGTGTCTTAATGATATATTATAGGCAAGATAAGATATGGTGTGTGTTTCTCACTCCACAGCTGATGTCCTTAGTGAGGAGGCCATATTGAAATGGTACAAAGATGCTCATGCTGCCAAAGGAAAAAGTGTATTTCTGGAGCAAATGAAGAAATTTGTGGAGTGGCTTCACAATGCAGAGGAAGGTGAGGAGTTATTTCGGATAAAAGTATCCTCTGCCAAACAAAATGTAAATCTCAAGAACATTATTTCTTAATTCTCTCTCCCACAGAGTCTGAATCAGAGGGGGAAGATGACTAATAATTTTGAGGATCCTGAAGATTTTATGGGTTTTACATGGTCAGCTCTCTGTGACCAGCTTTTTAGTGCATATTTAGGCTCTTTGTCATTACATTTGTGTCCAGAGGGACGAGTCACATAAACTAAGGCCCAATCCAGGGAAAAGCTTCTGAGCTCTAGGAAGAGAGTGCAGGGAGCTACATATAGACAGCCTTTAATAACAAACACTTTAACATGGATTTTATATGAATGCCGTTCAGGTACTGCGTTGGCACACATCAGTTTCCTGCAACTGATTTTCATTTGAACAAACACGTGTATATGTCGTATGTGACTGCTTTGAATCTTTTTATGAATAAAAGGTGTTTTATATGTACTCTAGTTCCAGAATTTGTCTCTTTTTAGTTTGTCTGACTGATCTTTATCTCTTCATTTTTAAGTCACTTTAGGTAAAGGTGTCTGCCAAATTAATAAATCTAAATGTCTTTACAGACCTGCCTTTTTTATGTTGATTACGACTCTAAGTCCTTTTAGTTCTGCAAATTATGCCGAGGCCAAATCCTTCCCTGTCTGTCTCACTCTCATATAGAGTTGGCTCATTATCATGCAAAAGTAGATATTTAATTGACTTTATAAATAAAATAGAAAAGTCAAAAGAAATAAATAGCTATTGTAATTTTAGGGCTAATTAGAATTGGCATTTTATTCTCAAATAAGAACATTTCCCCTCAGTGGTCAAATGACCAGAAGGTTGTTTTAATCAGAGGTGTAAAGTATTTGAGTAATTAATTACTGTACTTGAGTATCTTTTTGGATTTTCTGTAGTTTTACGGAGTATCAAAGATATTAGCAACTTCACTACATTTTTGAATAAGTACTCCTCTACGTTTGTAATGAGTTTTGCAATTACACATTACATTTTGCATGGTTGTTGCTAGAACGGAAGCCAACAATAAATTGAATTTTCTACCTATTAGATTGTGTTTTATTAAAGTCTACACCTACCCCTTACAATAATGGAAAAATAGTAATTGTTGTACAGTGTGAGAAAAATTATGCTATATTGATTTACGCATGCCCAGTAGTTTTTGCTGTATGCCATCTAGCCATTTTGCATGGCACCTAGATTTTTCTGCAGTAGTTTATTTCTGCTACAAAATAAGTGATATCACCAACTACAGGGCACTGAAAGTACTGGCAAACTTGTCAACAAGTCTACTTCAGGTGAATGTGAGTCCCTTAGCAACTGTAATGAGGCTGAAACCAGGTCATCCAGTGCAAGAATGCTTTTTTCATTTTACTTTACTTTTACTTTTTACTTTATTTTTTCATTCTCCTGTATTTTTATCCTGTTATTATTGTAAATGTTCAATAAACAAATTAAGCAAAAAAAAAAAAAAAGTTAACATTATTAACATTATTTTATTTATCCGTTATATTGAAGAGACATTTTTGAAGGATTTTTTTTTTTTTTTTTTTTTTGAGGTGTTCAGTTTTATTTTGGTTTTAGAAAATAAATGTGATTGCTCTCCTCACAAATCAACCCTTTCTTGTGTTTCACTGGCATGTCTCTTTGACTAATGCATCTTTGAGCCTATATTTAGTAAAAGTAAAATACTACAGTACTGTTAAAATGAGATACTCCAAGACTTTTACTCAAGTTCTTTTAAAAGTGGTGACTTGTAGTGGAGTAATTTTCACTGTAAGGTATCTGTACTTTTACTCAAGTATGGTTTTCAGGTACTCTTTACACCTCTGGTCTTATATGTGTGTGTGTGTGTGTAACAATTTAAATATTAATAATAAATATTATTGTATTTTTGTATTATCCATCATTCTTAATTGCTATTCTCATTAGTCGCAATACTGTTACAAAGTAATATGTAAATAAATACTGTAAAAATATTAAAATCATATATAATACAACATAATTACATAGTAATATGTAAATACTGTATGTATGTAAATACTATATATGTATATGTATATACAGTATATATATATATACTTTTTCTTTTCTTTCTTTCTTATATTGTGGCGCGGTGTCAGCAGAGGGCAGTGTAGTGGCTGCAGTGTGGCCGCTCTTCTTCTTCTCTCCGCGCGTGCTCTGCTGTGTCCGTCCGTGTTGGCGCGAACGTGCACGCCGGCGCGAGACAAAGAGCCTCTTGCACCCCAGTGGAAACCGGTCTCCTGTTATCAGTCAGGTTTACGAGCTGATATCTGTCTGTCGAGTCGTTATGGCTGATAAAGAAGGTAAGTATGGTTTCACGGCACTCGGTGTGCTCTAGTTTAGAGGTGTTTGTTTGAGGGAATTCAGCGCAGGCCGAGTCCCGCCATAACGACACAGTCCTGCTAACCTTACATCAGTACAGTTTAAACAGTAGAGCTTATTATGAGCACAGCTCAGCTGTGTTTCGGCCTGAATGTATTCTTTATGATGGGAACATTTTAGGAAGTATCTAAACTGTTTAGTTAAATTAGCGCCGAATTAGCTGCGGCTAACGTTAGTTTGTTTGGCTTTTAAGTTGAAGCGTGTGAATGTGGGACGCGTCGCTTTATTTCAGGAAGCTTTCAGTATTGTTTTGGATTTTTTTGTGCTGCTAACTGATGATAAATGTAAATATTTGGCAATGGGCACTTAATTTTAAGTTGTTTTCCAGAGAGTTTGTCTGTAACAGATTGAGCAATATTGGTTGCATCTATATCTTCCAGTAGATTTAAATGTAGACAAAGTCATTTATTATCGTACAGCAATTGTGGGGGAAAAACTTTATGGTCTTACATATTCAAGCTGTTTAGAAAAGAGAGTATCGTCGCTGAAGGCGCTTTGACAGCTCTCATCTTGCTTTCCCGCCCCTTTTTGTTACAGCTGCGTTTGATGACGCGGTGGAGGAGAGGGTGATAAATGAAGAATATAAAATCTGGAAGAAAAACACTCCGTTTCTTTACGACCTGGTGATGACCCACGCGCTGGAGTGGCCCAGTCTTACTGCTCAGTGGTTGCCAGATGTCACCAGGTAACACCTTTACATCTACAGACATTAGCTTTGAAATAGGACTGAAACGAATGATTGTTTGATAATCGATTCATAGAAAAAAAAAAAAAAAATCCCAAATTATTTATTAAAAATATTTTGGAATAAATTATTTACAAATTTGTTGTTCCACATTGTGCCATGTGTTGTATCCTTACAAATAAGGATACGACCTTTAAAAAAAAACAGCACACACATCTGTCAAGGCAAGCCGTGTCAAACTAACTTGTATGCTTTAGTTTGAATCACTTAATATAATGCATTCTCATGTTTAGGACAAATTGGGTCCTCCAGTTCTACCGCAGCAGCTAACTCTGTGTCCTCTGCTGTTTTCCAGATATGTTTTATCCCTAAAAATGCTTTATTCACTGCTGTAAAGTGACGTGACTGATACGATTAATCAATAAGCAAATTTGTTGTCAATTATTTTCATTATTGATTATGATTAGCTGCTGCAGCCCTACTTTGAAACATTTAATTTATTGATTGAGTAGGTGTGGCTCTAAATGATCTTTTCAATGTGTTTGGTGGGCTTTTCCCCCCCAGGGTTCCCACGCTTCTTGAAAGTACTTGAATTTCAGACATATGGATTCAAGGCCTGGAAAGTACTTGAAAACAAACATAGGTCCATGAAAGTGCTTGAATTAAATTTGAAATAAATTGTGTTTATGCAGGGATTAAAGTTTTCCGTCGCTACGACGGATTTCCGTCAATTGGGGGGGAAAATGAGGGGAAAAGAAACATGTAGCGCATTGTTGTTGTTCTGCCGGCACACCAAAAATAATCCCCGCCACGGCTGCAGCTTCTCACGGACAACATAACGCCGCTTGCATCATTCACAGTCGGGTTATTAGCAGAGAACACAGATCAGGTCTTGAATTTCGGCGTGGGATTGTGGCTATTAATAACAATTCTACTCATTCCCGCAGGTTCCGCGTTTATAACGCGATGACAGATGACGGAACTTATCATTTGCATGTGCTTTTGAGTCTTGAGAACTTGCTCGCGCACGCTCACTTTCTGTGCGCCCACAGATCGCGATAAGGAGAGTGACAGCTTTTAATAATTATTAAGGGAGTTTGCCAGTGTGATATTGATTCAATACAACAGTTCAGTAAACAAGTACTGCCTGATTTTGCTCTATTTCTTTAACGAAAATAGTTCCAAATATAGTAACAGCTCAGCCACTTCGCATCTCTAAAAGCAAACACAGCTGAGTTTCATTCATTCAATGATTTAAATAACTGATTATATGCTAAAAATGTGTGTTTTTGAACGAATCTAGTGAGTCAGTGCTTCATGATTACCCATTCATAAAGACAGTCACTTGCTTTGTTCCTGAATGAATCAGCCGTTCGAACGAATCAATTGAATGAATGATTCAGTGATAAAATCAGTGACTTGTCTCCATCTGCTGGTGGATTTAGTTTCATTTTTAGCATTTTAATTTCAGTTATTTAAATCATTTAATATTTCTATATTCAAAATTGTATATTTAAAACATTAATCTCCACATAAATGTATGAATTTAATTGCACTCATGCCACCTGTGAGCCTCATTAAATGTCTGAAAATGTACCTACAAGCCACTTTTGTGTTCTTCAGTGCCACCTCTGTACAGATTATTTTTTTATTAATACTAACTGATTGATAACCTATGTCTCATTCTACTTCTTAATATATTGTTTTAAATAGAAATGTTAAAAAACTTATAAACATATGTTTTTGAATTTGACATAGATAAAAAAAGATGCCATTACAAAGGTAAAAAAAAAATACCCCTGTAAGTCACTTTGAGTCAAATGTCACCTAGTATTAAGAAGGCTAATTTTTGATCAGAACTTTTTATTATTGATCAGAAGGTGCTCCTAATTTTTTTTAAATTAGGAGGACAAGTGCTCCTAATTACAAGAAGAAAAAATCTTTGCTTTTAAACTGTGTGAGACAGGTATGGCTGTGGAATGGGGGTTGGCGGAGGAAAAATTTTCAGTCAAAAGATTTTTTTTTTTTTTTTTTTTTTTTTAACCCCTTTTTATGGTGCTATTTCAAAAATTGTCCTATGTTCTGTTAAAGACAGAACAAAATGGCACTAATGATTTGGGGTGGAGATGGGGTAGCGCGGAAAAAATTTGTGTGTGTTGATGCGCAGCCTTGAGCCTTGGGGACAGTTTTCTTAAGCCCGCTCCCGCTGAATTTCTGACCATTACCGCCCAGTCCCGCAACGTGTGTGTGTCCCGCTCCCGCAAACATTCTAATATTGTATATTATTTTCGCACATCAGGGAGCCGCTATCAATATGCGGGGTATTGAAATCACATTTGAATGAGCGCTCGGTTCACTTTTG